CCCAAGGGGGGGGGGGGGGTAGCTAAGGGGAGACCCCCCCCTTTGCAAGTTCCGCGCGCGTGCTCTCTCCAAGGTTTGGCAGGCTTGGCGTAAGCCTTCTTAGATGAGCTGGCCTTATAGGCGGCCATACCTGCAAGGCTCGCGCTACGAAATGCAAGTGCTTACTGCGAAACCTGTATTCTGCTGAGTGGCTCTCGATATCTGCTTCGGAGGGCCGGTTGAAAGCACGAGCAGCGATTCCAGCAAAACGGTCGGCCCCATTTTTTCCCCCGAGTACCAGCCCATTCCGAGGATCCCAGGGCCAACTAATCTAGATTTTGGTGGGCATTGACCTGGGAAATTCTGAGTGGGGGGTGCCAGCCTGTAGGAGCACGGACAACGGGAGGCCTATCTCAGCGTATCTGTTTCGCCGAGACAGTTCTGCGGAATCTAGATTTATGATTCCTTGGCAGTCCATTGAGATCTCAGTGATCTGGGATGGGAGGAGGAGGAGGAGGAGAAGGAAAAGGAGGAGGAGGAGGAGGAGGAGGAGGAAAAAGATAAGGAGGATGAGGAGGATGAGGATGAGGATGGATGAGGATGAGGATGAGATGAGGAGAGGAGAGGAGGAGGAGGAGGAGGAGGAGGAGGAGGAGGAGGAGACAGCAGCAAGGACGGGACAGTGCTCAGCAGTGGGAGAGGACTGGGGGAGACCACGGTGGCCGACTCGTCCAGTTAAAGCCGCTATGTCTTTGCCTTGGTCGTCTATCTTGACGACCGCCATCCATCTGTGTGATGGTTTTGCTACCAGATTTCAAACATAAGCCGTCCGTGGAGACTTTGCCCACTAGGGTGGTCTCTGGGGTCGCCGAGGGATCCGCGGACCTTCAAAGAACTTCGGCCGAGCCCAGCTGGGGCTCTGATGTCAAAACCAGGCTCAACCTGAAAACCAGCAGCGAATGGAAATCGGTCCTGTCCTATAAGGAGCTCGATATCTTCGCTGGTGAGGCTGTTGGTCCTATAGGGCTCAGTAAGGGGGCATCTCAGACTACGATGGGGTAGATCGCCCGAGGCAGCTCTGCACAAGCATTCACCTGACGCTTCTTCGCAGCCTGCCGCCATCAGGCCATTGCGCGTCCAGATGGCGTTCCAAAGGAAGGCGAGGAGGATGGTTCTCTCGATCTTGGTGAGGGTGCCTGACTGGATACATGTCTGAGCACATGCTACGTTCAGCGTGGCCCCGTCGAGGCCCGTCTTCGTGGCTGCGGCTCCGAGGAGCCTTTGGTCCCAGGTCTGCTTGAGGAGGTCCTGGAGGAGGCTGGGCGAGGTACTGATTAGGATATGCTGGTTTCCTAGGGCGTCCTGGATGGCAGACGGGGAAACGAATGCCCAGCCGATCTGTGCAGGCCGGGGCACGCTGCTCACAGCGGGCCTCTGCAGCTGCTCCAAGAGCTGGGCGGTTCGTCGAGCACGTCTGCTGCCATTCTGCGTAGGGTCGGAAGGGTAAAGCCGGTGATGGCCGTGCCTGTGGTTGCTCTCCGCACAAGTTGGCCCCACAAGAAGGTAGGTCCCACTGCGGGTCTCCCGCACGGGTCGCCCAAGATGCAGGGTGTGAGGTTGCGGGAGCGGGTTGTGTCCCACGGCCAGCGGTTCTGAGGTAGAGCGACTGCGACTTGCGAAGCTCGATGTTGTCGAGGCCTACGGCCTCCCAGCCGTAGAAGTGCGCCTGACCTTGCTTTAGATCTTGTGTGTCTCCGTGGGTTCCATTAAGGCTGGCGAATCTTCGGGTCCTGGTCCGCAACTTCTTGTGGCGGCCTCTCAGGGTGGACTGATTGATGCCCTTCTCTTAGCACCTCCAGAGCGAAAATCCATTCCAAGGTTGGGGGCGTCCGAGGCCTTCTTGAGGGGGCCAGCGTACTTGCCCAGCTCAACCTCGAGATTCTCTTGACTGTTTCACTGAACTTCGCGTTTGATGGCTGCCAAGAGCAGGAAGCACGCACCAAGCAACAGCTGCGCAAGCTGCTTACTGCACTTGTGGAAGACCTGCAGCAAAGCATCGCCAATGAAAGGGCTGAGCTGGATGCCTGGATGAGCTTCGGTCCAGAGCTGGATGGGGCTGCTTATAATGCATTTGGACAAGGTAAATCGCGAAACCGCACCCAGCAGGAAGGGAGAACCACAGTACCGGATGAGCTGGCTGAGGGTTAGGAACCTGCTGCGTTGGTACTGATTTAGTATCACCGCTAGAATAGCTCCGTTGAACCCACTGCTGCTGGCTCTGGCTTGAAGGACAGCTCTGTTAATGTGCTCGTAATGATTGGACATGTCCCAGAGAGGCGAGCTTGCGTGAACTGGGTATTCGGCCAGACAGCCCTGTCAACAAGAAGAGACTGCTGGAAGACGAGCTCTAAAATACTGTTGCCTGCCTGGCGCGCAAGGAAATTACACTTGTTCTCGCTCTCCCACTTCCTGGCCTAAGAGTGCCAAACCTTTGCCCAGGCCCTGCAGATGCCCCAGGAAGCAGACCGATCCCGCGGTAGGCAGGCCCTCCAGTGGCCTTCAACTTGGGGATGAGGTTCGTGATGATGGCCAGGATCCGGGGGGGCCTGGTATCTAGCTGCTCGAGGCTGGTGAGCAGGTCCGCGAAGACCTGAAGCTGTTCGTCTGTGAGCATCCCGCAATGCCTCGGGTGGGCTCCATCCCATGGCTGGCACGCGTGATGGCTGGAGGTTCTGATGGCTTTCCCGAGAGACTGGGGCGTGATGGGTGGGAGCTGAGCTGCTTCTGCTGGTTGCCCTGGGACCCGGGGGGGTGTCTTCCTTGGGCCTCCCAGAGCTCCGAGAGGCGGTCCGACTCATGCTCCAGAAGCTTGGTGGGGCGTCCTGATCACCTATCGTCTTTGGCTCTGATTTCCCGGGGCTGCCAGACGTTGTGATCTTTGGTCCACTTGTCGGGGGTCCCCAAACGGGGTGGTGACCACACCGTGCGGTGAGTTGGTGGGGATTCGGGGTCACCGCACGGTTTTGGGACTCGAGTCCCTCTCCGAGGATGTCTCGGGCGACAGGGGTCTCCAGGGTCCCAAAACCGTGCGGTGACGGACCGTGCGGTGAGGTCTTGGGGGATTTCGAGGTCACCGCACGGTCCGTCACCGCACCGTTTCGGGACTCCAAAACTTGGGGGCCCGCCCGATCCCTTTGGCCATCTGTTCTGAGACCCATTATTGCCAGGAGGCTGTGGCTTGGAATCTTTCCCGAGAGCGCTTCTGATCGTGAAAGCTGGTCACCTCCTTTTGAAAGTGGTTCAATATGTGCTGAGCTCGATGGTGGAACTTCTGCATGCCGTCTCTCTGCGGGTCGGCGATGCGAGCGTCGAGAATGTGGCGAAATCTGTTGAAAAGAGGCTGCATGCCCGGAAGTGTCTGAAACTCCTGAGGCATATCTTGAAGAGCTGAAAGGACTTCCCGCAAGCTGACAGGGAGGCCGATGTGCACTGCTCTAAGTACACCAATCACTCGATTATTCAGCCACCGTAAGGGTTTGCGTACGACTGCCAGCCTATTCGATGTTTGGACTCCTTGGCCTTGGCCGAGACCCAGACGATGCGCAGGGGTTGACGCCTGGTGTCACGACTCCTGAGCGGGGTGTCCGTCTGTCTGTCTGATTGTCTGTCTGTCTGTCTGTCTGTCTGTCTGTCTGTCTGTCTGTCTGTCTGTCTGCGGTGTTGGGGGAGGAGGAGGTGTTGGAGGAGGAGGAGGAGGGAGGAGGTGGAGGAGGAGGAGGTGGAGGACCAGGGTAAACCCAAGACTCATCAACGATGTTGGAATACCCCCCCCCTCCAAGCTCCCGCTCTAGAGGCCCCTACAAGGGTTCATTTCCACGGAGGGAAGTGCCCTGTTGGGAGACAACCGTTTGAAGACCCTGAAGCGTGCCAGAACACCACTCTCGGGACTCCAACGCCACGAATCAACGTGACATTTGCGTCTTGACAATCCTGAACCGTGCCCGAAGACCACTTCTGGGACTCCAACACCGCGATTCAACATATCTTTTGCGCCCTGACAGTCCTCACTCGCTCCGAAACAGCATTTCTGGTACGCTGACCATGGGAATCCGTGAAACTCTTGCTTGTAACAGTTTAAGACGAATTTGCGCGGCGCTAAGGCGAGAGCTACGTTTTGGAAGCGAGCCGCCCTCAATCGGTGAAACTCTTCACACTTTTTTGAGCCACCCCCGCGCCCCATCCGTGAAACTCTTGCAGTCCTTGTTCAACAATTGTGCGCGCCGCCACGGCGAGAGCCATATTTTGAAAACGTCCCGCCCTCCATCCGTGAAGCTCCACATTTGAAAACCACTAGCCTTCCATCTGTGAAACCGTTGCCACTTTTTGGTTTCAGGGTGATAAATGGTGAGGAAGTCTCAGGCGCAACGCCCCGCCCGCCCTTTCGACCGGATTCGGTTCGGGGAGCGACAGGAATGGACAAGAACTGGAGGAGGAGGAGGAGGAGGAGGAGGAGGACTGCCGCTACTACAGGCTAGATCGGCCTGACAGCATTCCGAAAAGAAGAGGAGGAGGATGAGGATGAGGATGAGGATGAGGATGAGGACGAGGACGAGGACGAGGAGGAGGAGGAGGAGGAGGAGGAGGAGGAGGAGGGGGGCATGATGCGCGAGGAGGGAGGATCCTCCTGTCTTTTCTGCCTCTTCGTCCTCTTTCTCCTTTCTTCAGACTTATCCCCTACCCTCCTCTTCTCGGACCTGCCCCTCCAGATGCAGGCCACTCCATGCCATGTCCGGTGCTCTGCCCCCTTTCCCCCCTCCTCCCCCCTCCTCCCGCTCCCTCGCGCTCCTCCCCTCCCCTCCCTCTCCTCCTCCCTCATCCTCCCTCCCTCCCTCCCTCCCTGCCCCCCGCCCCCGAGTGCCAAGGCAGTGCCGCAGCCGCAGCTCCCCTCTCGCCCACTCCACCGACCGCGCCGGGGGCGGGCGCGGCGGCGCGGCGCGGCCCGCGGCGCAGCCCGCGGCGCAGGCCGCCGAGCGCGGGCCCGGCGCTGCTGCTGCCGCGCCGGAGGTGCCCTGCAGGAACGGCTGCGGGCGGCAGGCCGCGCAGGGCTACCAGGCCGCTGTGGGTGCAGTCCCCGGGGGGTTCGTTTGGGGATCGCGCCTCCTCCTCCCTCCTCCCTGCTCCCTCCCTCCCTCCCTCCCTCCTCCTCTCCTCCTCCTCCTCCTCCTCCTCCTTCCTCCTCCTCCTCCTCCTCCTCCTCCTCCTCCTCCTCCTCCTCCTCCCTTCTCCTCCTCCTCCTCCTCCTCCTCCCTTCTCCTCCTCCTCCTCCTCCTCCTCCTCAATTCCTTTTCCTTTCGATAACTCCTCCCTGTCGCACCCCGAGGCCTGTCGAAAGGGCGGGCAGGGTGTTTCGCCTCAGACCTCCTTATCAATAGTGACACTGAAACTTTCAATTTGCCAACAATTTCGCAGATGGAGGGCAGGTGGTTTTCAAAATGTGGCTCTCGCCGTAGCGCCGCGCACATTCGTTTTTAGAAATTAGCAAGAGTTTCACGTATTGAGGGCGGGACGTTTTCAAAATATGGCTCTCGCCTTAGCGCTGCGCACATTAGTTTCAGACATTTGCAACAGCTTCACGGATTGAGGGTGGGTGGTGTTCAACATATGGCTCCCGCTTTAGCGCCGCGCACATTCGTTTTTAAAACATGTGCAAGAGTTTCGCGGATGGATGGCGGGTGGTTTTCAAAGTGTGGCTCTCGCTTCAGCGCCGCGCGCATTCGTGTGACATATTTGCAAGAGTTTCACGGACGGAGGACGAGTTGTTTTCAAAATGTGGCTCCCGCCTTAGTGCCGCGCGCATTCGTTTAACAGACATTGCAAGAGTTTCGCGGATGGAGGGCGGGTCGTTTTCAAAATGTGGTTCTCGCCGTAGCGCCGCGCACATGTGTTCAAACACAGTACAATAGTTTTGCGGCTTGAAGATGGTTCGTGTTCAAGATATGACTTTCGCTTTAGCGCCGCGCAGATTCGTTTAAACAAACTGCAAGAGATTCACGGATGGAGGGCGGTTCGTTTTCAAAATGTGGCTGTCGCCTTAGCGCCGCGCAGACTCGGTTTAAACATTGGCTAGAGTTTCATTGACTCTAATGGTTAACGTACCGCACATGGTGTTCTGGATCGTTTGAGGATTGTCAGGGCGCAACAGTGACGTTGATTCGTGGTGTTGAAGTCCCAGGAATCACGTTCTGACGCGATCCAGGATCGCCAAGACGTAACAGTCAGGTGAAGTCGTGGTGCTGAGGTCCTGGGAGCGGTATTTTGGCACGCTTCAAGATGTTCACACGGTTGTTCCCCAACGGGGCGCTTCCCTCAATGGGGGTGACCCATTCTTGGGGCCTGTGAAGAGGGATTTGACAGTGAGGGTGTATTTCAACATCGCTGATGAATATGAGGTTTACATTGGTCCTCCTCGTCTTTCTCCTCCTCCTCCTCCTCTTCTTCCTCCTCTTCCTCTTCCATACTCCTCATCATCGTCCTCGTCCTCCTCCTCCTCCTCCTCCTCCCTCCTCTTCTTCCTCCTCCTCCTCCTCCTCCTCCTCCTCCCTCCTCCCTTCTTCCCTCCCTCCCTCCCTCCCGCCCGCCCGCCCGCCCTCCCTTCCCTCCCTCCCTCCCTCATTCCCTCACTCCCTCCCCCGCCTCCTCTCCTCCTCCTCCTCCTCCCATCCTCCTCTTCCCTCCCTTCCTCTCTCCTCCCTCGTTCTCCTCCCTCCCCTCCTCCTCCTCCTCCTCCCACCTCATCCTCTTCCTTCTCGATCCTCCGCCTCCTCCTCCTCCCTCTCCTCCTCCTCCTCCGCCCCCTTTCCTTCTCCTTTCTCCTCCGCCTTCCTCCCCCTTTCCTCCTCCTCCTTCTTCTTTTCCTCCTTCTCCTCTTCCTCTTCCTTCTCTCTCAAATCAGATGGTCAGCCGCCGATTGGCTTCAGCGCCAGCGCGTGCTTGTATATTGTATGAAGAGTATGCGCCCCGCAATCTACATCTTATTGCCGCCACGAATTCCCTCGTGCAGCTTCCCCCTCGCAAGTCTAGGTGGTAGTGGAGTCGGGAACGATCCCAGCTCGCGATCCGCGGGACGTGCGCACAGTGCGGTGTGAACGCACATTCGCAGTTACCTTCACCTCCGACGGTGTACCACCTTTACTCCTTGAGTAGCCTGTGCTTAAGGATGTTCTGTAAGCGGCTGGCAATTCGCCTTGGACGCCCTTTGGTCTTGCTGAGAGGGCATCAGCAGAAGGCGCAATCGCGCTGATGAGCGACTCGCCCACAGGAACGCCACGACATTTCCCGACCCATCGCAACCCCGCTGGCACTGGCTGCAGTTTCGCGTCGGGCATGATTGCGAGGCTCCTTCTTGGGCTAGTGCCGTGCCTCGGTATGTGTGCGATGGTGCTGGTTCTTGTGAGCACAACGCGCCAGCCGAGTGGAGCATTGAAGGCTAACGCACCAGTTTCACCGACGTCGGCTAAGACCAAGGTTGACGGCATCATCATGGCTGCCCCGTACTTCGACGTGGCGTTCGTCCTTGCGCGGGCCCGAGTCCCAAGGTGCTTCCGCAGCCATCATCGTGGCGAGGCTTTATGGAGGAGGATCTCCATCTAGACGTTCTGGGGCTCCCTGCCGCGAGTCCTCTCCGTAAATGTTAACCAGCACCACCACAACTATACAGTGGGCACAAACCTTTCGCCGCCGCGGAGGCCATCGACGTCGATGAGAGAGGAAACGCCTACGTAGAAATGCTGTCCCGGGATCATCTAGTTCCAGAGGGGCGCTGTGCACCCCCCCGGGTCGGCGTGGCAGGAACCGAGAAGGCAGTGGTCGAACGCGACGCCGACGTGCTCACTTCAAAAGAGTCTTGAGAGCGCGCCGCAGCTGTTGTTGCCGCTGTGCTCGAGGAGCTGCAGGCATGGGGGGGTCACGACTGCTTCTCGCGGCGCCTGCGCCGAGGAGCGCGCGTCATCTCGACTGCAGGTGCGTCGGCGAGTGAAAGTGGGCTCGAATCACAGCAGACCCCACTCAGAAAGCACGGACCATCCGCGTGGGGCTACCCTTCGAGGCTGCAAGAACGCCGACGTCGATCTGATTGCCACGTAATGCCGGCTCTTTGTCGCGACTATCCCAGCGCGCGGTTGTCTCCGAGGCTGCCCGCCAAGGGCGGGGCATCGACGCGTGGGATGTCAAAGGAAGCCTTCCTTAAAGGCGTTGGCAACCAGGGACTCGCGGAGGCTACGGGCGAGGATGGGCGCGATGTTGATCTTCGAGCTTTCCCCCGATGCCTTCGAGGTCCCGCGCAAAGTCTATGGGTGCGTTGTTTCCGACCCAGCCCTTGAAGTTCTCCGCGCGGAGAAACCGGGCGCCGGGTTCGAGGGCGCCCCGAGGCGCCGACCCGTCAGACTCGCCGAGATCACCAAACAATGTTCCGAGCCATCCCCGCATTTTACGACGACGAGTCCATCGCCGAGCGCAAGGATGGCGAGCTCGTTCTGCTGGCCACCGTCGACGACGTCGAGGTAGCTGGACCACCGCAGGAAAACGCCAAGTCACGTCAGTGTCTGGAGCGCACCTTTGGTAAAGGGGAGCTGGAATCCAGTGAAGGAACCTTCTTGCTGTGGCGCGCGTCGCTCCCGCGCGCGATGACGGATGTGAGCCGGGCCAGATCGAGTATGTCCAGGCCATGAAACCACTTGGATGCCCTGGGCTCATTGGCGAGTCTAACTCCGAGCTCTTCTCAGAGAACCAGGCCAAGCTGTGCCCCGGCTTGCTCGTGGCACCAGCCTTCGCTCGTCGCGCTAATCAACCTGCGCGTTTACGTGGTCTCACTTCAGCGCCATGCAGCGGCGCCAACATTCGGCCAGATGCGTGAACTCAATGCGCTCGTGAGATGGGCGCAGGCCGAGCCGCTGCGAATCCGTTGTGCATCTACGCGCTGCTCAAGCAAACTAGAAAGGCACAGTGACGCAGCGGTCAGACAAGAACAGAAGGAAAGCGTCGACGCGGGGCGGGCCCCGCGAGGAGCCACCTTCCTCCGTTTGGGCGCTTGCAATGCGGGCGCTCAGCAGACTTTCGTTGGCAGGCAAACGCGTCGCCTACTTGAGCTGTCAGATTGGGCAGTCAGAACGGTGGCCCGAAGCGCCTTCGCGCGTGGGCTGGTGGCCGTGATCAGTTCAACAGATCACGGCCTCGCTCTGGCCACCGCGCTTCACGGGGTGCTCTGAGGGCCCCCTGATTCCATGGGGCAGCGCGTCGCCGTCGGGCTGGCCATGGGCGCCGTCGACAGATCTGTGCTTCGCGGCGTGGCCGCTGGCTCTCGCCAGTGATCGCGCACGCCGCGCGCCGTCGTTTTCGCTTGGCTGGCAAGCTCACTGTGCTATCGGGCAATGGGAGACAGCCGGATCCCGACAATTAGCAAGTATCAGTAGGTGTATGTGGATTGTTCCGTGCTCCATCCCCCTCGAAGCCACTCGTCCTACTTCTTTTTTTGTCCGCGGAAGGCTCGTCGCATTTTGCGTGGCGCTTGGGAGACATGTTGCAGCGCTGCAGTTCAGGAAGGAAAAGATGACGTGAGTTTCGTCATCGAAGTGTTCGGCAAGTGCTGAGGCATGCATCTGGTGGCATCCGTGCACGGGCGCGCGGAACAGGGGATAACTCATGAGAGTCAGCAATGAGAGCATCTGATGTCGCTGCCGTTTTTCCCAGGAGCAGGCATGTACGCCGACCGGCCGGGGTGCGCTGAGCCGCCGTTCGTGGCTCGCGCGCCGTCGGGCACGCGCTGGCATCCGGCGCGCGTCGACGCGGGCGGGCGGGTGCCCGCTGCCGCGCGCGCGTGCCAGCGTGCCGATGATTTTGCCGCTGGCCCCCCCCCGAGCCGCCGCCGTCTCGTCGCTTGCGGACCGTGCCCTCTCTGCCGCCCGCGGGGGGGGGGGGGGGGGGGGGCGTCATCAGACGAAGTGGCAGTATGCGACGTCCTAGCGCATGGCCAACAACTTTCGGCATCCCAAAGCCAACGCCAGTCATGGTCCGCCCCCCAGACATGCCTCCGATCTTGCCCCCATCAAGCCAGGAGCAAGTTCGACAGTTGCAACATCTCACGGAGGAAGGGCGCGTCTAGCGTATCACCTCAACCTCATTTGTTCTGTCAACCCCGCTGGCGCCGAACTGCTGCCATGTTTTACGTGCGGATGCTGCCGTCCAGCAAGGCCTCCTGGCCAGTTCCGCCACGTGCTCCACATCCTCCCGCTGTGCCGCCCGTGGCTCTCGCGGAGGCTGTGGAGGACTCGCGTCGCCTGGTGTTCAGCAAGCGATTCCGAAGTGGTGGAGTTCATCGAGACGTGTCGCGTCAGCGACCCGACCCCTGACGTGACGGCGCGTGGGTGCGCGCGCGCCGGGCAGGTCATGGAGCCAGAGGTGCGCGCCGCGTGCGCCTGCGAGGCTCGAAGGGCTGCGGGGTGGGTGGTCAACTCTCGCCCGTTGCGACAACAAGCCGCTCGACTTTCCCATGATCGTATGCAACGCCAAGCTGTGCGCCGTGGGCTTCATTGACACCGCAACAGAGGGTAGTGTGCCGCCGATTTTGGACACTCGCCGATCCCGGGTCGTGGCCTGGGTTAGGGCGTGACCCGTGGCCCTCTCAAGGCTTTTGACGGGTCGGTCCATGGCGCGCCCGCTTGCATGAGCGGCCCGCTGGGCCCCGAGAGGCCGGCGCCGACGCCGCGGCCGTCGTGCTTCCCAGCGCCGCAGGTTGAGCGCTTACCGCGCGCGCCAATCCGGCGGCGCATCTCGCCAGGGGCTCCGCCCAGGCCCCCATCTCTGCCCCGAACTAAGAGGCGGAGTTCGACGGCGGCAGTGCTGCTCGCGGCTCGTGCTGGAGACTGGCGCTGCGCCATCCTTAAGCGCTGCGCCCGGTCTCGACGAGGGCGGTGGTCTTGGCGCCCATCGGCTCCCGCGGGCACGCGGTGGTGAAGGTCAAGCGCCGGCGCGCCAGCGCGGCCCCCCGCGTGGCCGCCGCCGCCGAGCTGGGTCAGCCCTCGCCCGCGGGCAGTGCCGAGGCTGAGGGGGCTTGGGCCGTTGGCGCTCCCAACGAGTCCTTCAGCCGTGGGCGGAGCGGCTCCTGCAACGCTTGATCGCTTTGAGGCCTGAGGCGACCGTGCCGAGAAAGAGTGTGCATCCCTCGTGGTCTTTCTCCATCCATCACCTTCTTGTGCCTGGGTATTAGGGCAGGCTCTCAGACGCCACGTCTGCGGCCCGAGGTTACCAGCGTGCGCAGATGCGGCCTGGGCGAACTCGCGCCGCCTTCGCTCGCAGGTGTGAGCTGCTCCAATGCCGCTCTGAAGAGCACGAGTGAGCTGCCCTTCAAAAGGGTGGGCTCGCGTCCCGCCGCGTCGCGCGCCTCTAGGTCAGACAGCGACGGGTTATTTCTAGAATGTGTTGGGGGGTGGGGGTGGGGTGGGCAGTTCTGGTTGATTTCTTCCTTTGTCCATCTTCTCCGCCAGACTTGTTCGATCGCCCGCGCAATCCCGACTCAAATCGAATGTTGTGTGGGCGTTAAGCTTCAGCGCCAGCGCGTGCGTGTATGTTGTATGAGGCGTACAAGCACTTCAATATACATCTTATTGCCTCCATGTTTCCTTTCGTGCAGCTTCCAGGCCCCGCAATTCTAGTTTCTCCCCCTCCTCCTCCTCGTCCTCGTCCTCCTGCTTCTTCTCCTCTCTCCCCCCCTAAGGTTCGGAGGATGTTCCGCATTGGTGGCTCGTTCGGTCGTGCGCTCGCTCCCTCTACCCTTCATCTCCCTTCCCGTTCTCATCTTTTTTTCCCTCCGCCTCCTCCTCCTCCTCGTCTTCTTTCTTCCCCCCATCCCCGGGCTCCTGCTGCTGCTTCTCCTCTGCCCTCCCTCGCCGCCGACGTTGCGCGCTGCAGCCGCGCGGGCCTGGACGGGGGGGTGGGCGACGAATTCCCGTGCGGGCCGCTGTGTCGGAACCCTAGAGGTTGACACCAACACGAAGGTCGGCGCTTGGCTTCACCGAGCAGATCTCGGTGATGGTTGCCGCAATCACAACCACCCATGATCATTCATCCTTGGTGGAGGCGACCCATTGTGTTGGTTTTGGTGCCGATTCCCAGGCCCCCGACAGTGGAGGAAATTGTTCAAGCGGAAGTGCAGGCGCAGGATGTCGCGACTCTTTCAAACATTACTCAGGAGTGTCAGCCGTTCCGTTCAGCTCTTGCCGTTCAGCTCTCACTTGTCCTCTCTCGCAGGATCCGTTGATTCGCCTTGGCGTTGCTGGGAAAACCGTGGAGTCGCTGAGGGAGTTTGTGATTGTGAACACATCCCTTGCATGGCCCGCTTGCCGCCCAACAAAGCAAATATCCTGCATGTGCAGACGCTGCAGCCGACATTGCGCGCGACGCCCGGGTAAACTCCGAACTGATTCTGCCGCTGTGGTAGGGGTGGTAGCCCGGGATTCCTGCGCAGTGACGCTGAGCTCAGCATGTAAATGAAGTCCTCCTCCTCCTCCTCCTCCTCCTTCTCCTCCTTCTCCTCCTTCTCCTCCTCCTCCTCCTCCTCCTCCTCCTCCTCCTCCTCCTCCTCCTCCTCCTCCTCCTCCTCCTCCTCCCCCTCCTCCTCTCCTTCTCTTCCGCCCTCGTGGGGGTGTCGGGAGCTGCCTGGCTGCACCGGAGAAGGCCTGCTGCCGCACGTGCTCGTGGACCGAGGGCGCCAGCCACGGCCCGAGGTGCGAGGCCGCCTCCGGCCGGGGCTCCAGCGCTGAGGCCAGCGACGTGCCGCCGCCGCCGAAGACGACGATGTGGTGCTCAGGGGCGACGTGAGGGGGATGGGCCCCAGGGCCATCGAGGCTTGTGGACGTTGACGTCGGTTCTCGACTGGACGTAAGAGTGACCTTTCGCCGGAGTGACCTCTGGTGCGGGCACAGATGAGATGGGTCCCCAGGTGGCTGAACACGAAGCAGGAGCAGCGGCTTGCGCGCCCAGGTTTGGTCCCCCCCGCGGCCCCCCAAAAAGCCGCGCGCCAAAGGTCGCTCTTACCCAGGGTCACTCCTGCGTGTAGCCGAGGTTCTCTTTGGGCATCCAACCTCGGGGTGCCCTCCAGCGGCTGCGCCTTGCCCGCGAGGGTTCCAGGGGTGCCCAGATCGCCCCGAGCGGCCGCGGGAGGCCCGAGGTGTGGCCCGAAAGCCACCGGGCATGGGGATGGACTCGAGGTGGGGACGTGTCGGTCCCCGATCGCCCGCGCAGCGCCGACAGGGGCCCGATAACCTCCTGCCCCGCCCATGAGTGTGCTGCGGATGCGCTCTCGGGGGCGTTCTCGCCGATTCATCAGGGATGCCTCGCCGATGCCAGCTCAAGGTTTCCCCCCCCCTGCTGCTCCCCCTCAGGTGCCCCTTCGCCGCGCCCTCTTCGGAGGTCGACGACGCGCACCCGCAGCCGCCGCACGCCGACGAGGACGAGCTCCTGCCGCTGCAGCCGCCGCCGCGGGTGCCCGCCTTCGACAAGGAGGTCGCCAACGGACGCCCCAGCGACTGGAACCAGAGGGCGGAGACGTTCTACTGGAGCCGCAAAACGGCGCACAGGTGCCCCGACTTCGCCCGGCCGCGAGCCGACGTAGCGCACGTGATGGAGTTCTTCGCGGCCCGCCCGGGGCCGGACGGGGCCGCGGTGTCCGCTCGCCTCGGGCCGCCGGAGGCCCGCGGGAGCTGCTGGTTCCGCTGCGAGTGGGTCGGCCCGGGCGGCGGCAAGAGCGCCCTGGAGAAGCTCCAGGCCGAGGGCTGGGTGCGAGCCTGGCACGGGTGCAAGATGGAGTCCGTGTACTCCATTCTCTACCACGGCCGGTTCTGCGAGAGCGGTCGATCGGGGCGCGGCGACAGGTTCTTCGACTACGGAGAGGGCGTGTACCTGCACCGGGACCGCCTGGCTCACAAGACGCAGTTCTACAGCCGGTTTACGCCGTTTCTCGGCAACGGGACGTACGTCTCAGCCATCTTCGAGTGCCTGGTCAACAGGGAGGATAAGGTCCAGACCTTCAACGGCACGGACCAGTGGATCAACCGCTCCCGCAGCGTGCGGCTGTCCGCCCTGTGGCTGTGCTGCCGCACTAAGCGGGACATGGTCCCCGGGGACGAGGTCGCTGCGGAGTGGGTCCCGGAGATGGAGGCGAACCCCCACCACACCGAGTGGGACGCCTCGGCCCGCGACCGAGGAGCGGGCCCCCCTCCTCCTCCTCCTCCCTCCTCCTCCTTCCTCCTCCTCCTCCCTCCTCCTCCTCCTCCTCCTCCTCCCTCCCTCCTCCTCCTCCTCCTCCTCCCTCCCTCTTCCTCCTTCCCTCCCTCCTCCCTTCTCCCTCCTCCCTCCTCCCCCTCCCCCCTCCTCCTCCTCCTCCTCCTCCTCCTCCTCCTCCTCCTAATCCTCCTCCTTCTCCTTCGTCCCTCCGCCGAGTCCCTCGCCCCCTCCCTTTCCCAGGCTGGGTTGCAACTGAGGGATGCAGATTCGGAGTCGGCGCTGGTATGTCCCTGGTCGAAAACTGGTGACCTGGTTCAATCCCGCTTAATGCTGCTTTATCCCGTTCATTGCCCATGCCCGTCCTGACGAAGACCTCCCAGGATTTGCCTCCTAACCCCGGAGAACGGGGAGAACGGGGAGAAAGAAGGGGCTGGAGGAGGGGAGGGGGGATGCTAGGGTCACTATGAGGGTGCGAAGTTCGTCGCGCTGCGCGCTTCGCACTTCGCGGTCTGGGCGATTTCAGAGCGAGGGGAGAGGCCTTCATCCTGATCCGGGGGGGGGCGGCGCGAAAGCGCGAAGATTATCGCGCTTTGCGCTTCGCAGAGCGCGAAGCGCGAAGATAGTTACCCTCGGGGATGACGACCTCCTACAGTTCTGACGAAGACCTCCCAGGAGTTGCCTCCTAACCCAGGAGAGAGGGGAGGAAGGGCTAGGCTGGAGGAGGGGAGGGCGGACGTGGGTAGGACGAGGATAAATCCGCTCCGGAGCGTTCCCCGAACGCGATCGAAGCGTTCTGGCACGCTCTGAGGAGGCCGCGGCGCCCGAGACGTCCTCCAGAGCCGCCGGATCTCTCTCGATTCCTCTTCGAGTCTGCCCTCGTCCCGGCTTCGCCCTGGGAGGGGGGGGGAGGTCAGTATCGTTTAACCGACCCCCATCCCCATCCTCATCCCCTTCGAGACCCCTCCCACATTAGCACCCCAGTTGGGGATACACCCCTCGAAACCCGAAGGGAACGGCCCATCTCCCCGTCTGGGGGTGTACATCGGCCAGCGGGGCCTTGGTCACGCCGCTGGGGATGGGGAGCGGTGAGCCGATGCTCAGGAAGGGGGTGGTGGTGCGCGCTCTTGGCACCCGCGACCGAGGGGCCTCCAGCTTTGCGGACTGGCTGGTGCCGCGGCCGGCCGCCGCCCGCGGCAGGTCCCGCAGGGCCGACCGCGCCCAGAGCTCGGGGCCCGCCGGGGCGGCCCCGCCCGGCGAGCCGGCGCCGGCGCCTCCGCAGTGGCAGGAGGCTCCGCCGCCGGGATGCGTCCCCAGACTCAGTATCGTTTAACCAATCCCCATCCCCATCCCCATCCCCATCCTCTTCGAGATCCCCACCAAATTGCCACCCCAGTTGGGGATACGCCCCTCGAAGCTCGAAGGGAACGACCTACATCCCCATCTAGGGGGGTAAATCGGCCAGAGTGGCCTAGGCCACGCCGCTGGGGATGGGCATCGGTTAAACGATCGGAGGTTGGGGGGTGAGATCGCGGTGAAACGGAGACCACCGACCGGGAAATCGGTTTCGGTTTCGTGTTCGTGTCGTGCGTGCGGGCGAGGCGAAGCTGCGCGTGATCCTCCTGTAGCTAGGCCGAAGTAGGAGCGAAAGTCCGTTCCCGTCCGCCGGTAGCTTGGAGGTGTCCCAGTTGGGCTGGGCGGTGTCCCGGGTGTCCCGGGTGTCAGTAGGAGTGAAAGTCCGTTTCCCGTCCGCTGGTGGCCGGGAGGTGTCCCAGTTGGGCCGGGTGGTGTCCCGAGTGTCCCGGGTGTCCTGGGCTTCCCGGCCCGCGGTGTCCAGTGGCGGCCCGTGGTGCCCCGTGGTGTCCCGTGGTGTCCCGTTGAGTGAAATCGATAGTGAGATCAATAGTGAGATCGATAGTGAGATCGATAGTGAGATCGATTTTGAGATCGATGTGGTGCCCCGAGGTGTCCCGTGGTGTCCCGTGGTGTCCCAAAAAGTGAGATCGATAGTGAGATCGATAGTGAGATCGATGTGGTGTCCCGTGGTGTCCCGTTGAGTGAGATCGATAGTGAGATTGATAGTGAGATCGATAGTGACATCGATAGTGAGAACGATGTGGTGTCCCGAGGTGTCCCGTGGTGTCCCGTGGTGCCCAGTGGTGTCCCGTGGTGTCCCGTTGAGTGAGATCGATAGTGAAATCGATAGTGAGACCGATAGTGAGATCGACAGGTGTCCCGCGGTGTCCCGTGATGTCCCGTGGTGTCCCGTGGTGTCCCGTGGTGTCCCGTTGAGTGAGATCGATAGTGAGATCGACACGTGTCCCGTGGTGTCCCGTTGAGTGAGATCGATAGTGAGATCGACAAGTGTCCCGTGGTGTCCCGTGGTGTCTCGTGGTGTCCCGTTGAGTGAGATCGATAGTGAGATCGATTGAGTCAGATGTTGATTCCCCCCCTTTCCCCCCTCCCCACAACCTCCTTTTCACCCGAAGGGTGATCGTATAGGTACTCACAGACATGCTCGCGTCCCGAAGAATGCCAGGACGGGAGGTTTTGGGCCATTTTAGGCCTCGGGGGGCCCCGGCAGGGCCCCAGGACAGTCCAAAGACGACTCGGGATGAAAAGGCGGTCCCAGGGAACGGATCGGGGCTTTGAGGGGACCCGTATCAACAAGAATCGGCACAACTCATGTCTGGGTCCATGTCCACCGCTCCGGAGTCGTGCGCTGGGCTCTCGAGGCGCAGCGGATGTGGATGCTTGCCTGCCCGCTTGGTCGGGGCAGATGGTCCACGTCCGCCCTTCCCCGAGCCCTCAGGGACACGACCCTGCGGCAGTGGGCATGGACATACAGTCAAGACGATAAAAGAAGGGCCACTCTGGGCACGGGAGAGAGGCTCTGATCTTCGGGCGGCCGCTCCTTCAACCCAGGTCGGGGAACCCATTCGTGGCCGAAGCTCGAAGAGCCTCTTCGCTCCCAGACCCCCGACGTCATGATTTTTTCATGACGCGACCCCCACAGGTCCCGACCCATTCCCCGGGACCGGTTTTTCATCCCGCGTCGTTTCTTGACGCTCCCGAGGCCCGGCGAGGGCCCCCGGAGGCCGAAAAATTGCGAACCCCCCCCCCGTCGTGATTTTTTCATGGCCCGAGGGGGTCTGGGTTGCCTGTTCAGCCTTCCCGATGGTGGCGCGGTGGCCGCACCCCCTGGCCGCGCGCTGGAGGCCCCCGGCGCGGAGCCCGCGCCGGCGCCCGCCGCGCGCGCGCCGCTGCCGCCTCCGGGGCCGCCTCCGTGCGCGGCCGCGCCGTGCCCGGCGCCGCCGCCGGAGCTCCCGGGCGCTGGAGCGCCGGATGTCTGGGCCCACGGGCCTGAGGAAGAGGAGGAGGAGGAGGAGGAGGAGGAGGAGGAGGAGGAGGAGGAGGAGGAGGAGGAGGAGGAGGAGGAGGAGGAGGAGGTGGAGGAGGAGGAGGAGGAGGAGGAGGTAGGAGGAGGAGGAGGAGGAGAGGAGGAGGAGGAGAGGAGGAGGAGGAGGAGGAAGAGAAGAGGAGGAGGAGGAGGAGGAGGAGGAGGAGGAGGAGGAGGATGAGGAGGAGGGGAGTTGGAGGAGGGGGAGGGGAGTTGGAGGAGGGGGAGGAGGAGCACGCGTGCGGGCCCCCGTGACCGCTGGCAGCCGCTGGCGGCCCCCAAACGGTCCAAGAGGCGCCCAAGACCAAGAGGGCCTCGGGACGGCCCCAAGAGGGGCCCACGAGGGGGAACACGAGCCCAGGGTCGAGGATCGGGCCGGAGGAAAGGGGGGGATAGGGACAGGGGGGGGTTCACGAAATCAGGTGCCTGCAGCTGGTTTCGGCCCCGCCGCCGGGCCCATGCCTCGATACATCGCCGCCTCTGGCGCCGGGAGGCGCCAGGAAAATCAGCTAAGTGAGCTGATTCTCAGCCCCCCCCCTTTTGCTATCCTCCCTTTCGCCCGGCCCGAGAGGAGGAGAGGGTCGACGACCGACGCCAGGGGCACTGCCGGGGGGGACCTGCGTGTCGAAGGCGACGAAGGCGACGATAGGGGCGATTAGCCTGGGGGAGAGCAATACGTTACATGTATTCAGGTGCGCCGATGATCTATGTCTTCGGAAAGGCTCCGGGGCGAATAAGTGTAATGCCCGCCCCTGGGCTATTCGCCCCTATCCGGGGACCGGCTCTCGGCATCCCCGAGCAGGTGTTCGACAGCCCCAGGGCCCAGTGGGGGCCCCTCAGTCCGAACATGACCAAAGCCGTCCGCCGTGTTTTTCCACGACGCGAGCATGTCCGTGCCTGGGGGTCAAAAATCGACCCCTGGACCCGCTCTGGGGTGCGATCTGACTAGGACCCCGAGGCGGATCCAGCCGTGGCGACGGGAAGCCTTCCAGAGGCCGAGCTCAGGTCAGAACCGTCTCAAAACTCCGACCCTCCGAGTTCGTCACGACGCGCAGCGAAGCCACCAGGGTTGGAACTGCCTGAATCGGCGGCTAGGCCAGGGGGGATGTGAGGGCGGGCCTTCTCAGAGGGCGGCGGGGCTTCTCAGCTGCCCTGGCGCCTACGGAGAAGTCTCCTATACGTCTCCGAAGACGGAGTCGGCTCGCCAGCCGGCGCGAGGACTTTGAGGAGCCCGGCCGCCCTCCGAGAGAGCCCGCTCCCCCTCAGGAGGAGGCGGAGGAGGAAGAGGAGGAGGAGGAGCAGGAGGAGGAGGAGGAGGGCGGAGGAGGAGGAAGGAGGAGGACGAGGAGGAGGAGGAGGAGGAGGAGGAGGAGGAGGAGGAGGAGGAGGAGGAGGAGGAGGAGGAGGAGGAGGAGGGGGACGAGGAGGAGCAGGAGGAGGGGAGGAGGAGGAGGAGGAGGAGGAGGAGGAGGAGGAGGAGGAGGAGGAGGAGGAGGAGGAGGAGGAGGCTTCCCCCCCCCGGCTCGCCCCCGACTGGAGGCCGCCGCCGGCCCGGCGCGGAGCGCTGTCGCGGAGAGGCTGGCGGGCGGCCCCGCCGGGCGCGGCGAGGAGGGCGGAGGCGGGCCTCCCGGCGGCGCGGCGCCCGCGCCGCCGCCGGGGCCCGCGGGCCAGGAGCCCCGCGCGGGCCGGGCGGGGCACGCGGCCGCCGTTGGAACCTCGGGCCTCGAGGGTCGAGGTGCGAGGCGCTCTGGCCCGATCCTGGGGCTCTCTCCTCGTCGCCACGGCCGGGCACATGCAGCCTGGGAGGCCGGTGCGTTTGGGCCCCCCGGGGGTCGGAGGGCGCATCTTGAGCGGACGTGCGCCGCGCCCCCAGATCTCCGCCGATCTGCTTTTCCAACCCGGGCGGCTTCGTCGATGCCGGCGCCCGGGGCCCGCTCTCCCAGGCCTCATGCAGAGGTGGATCCGGTGCGAAGCACTGCTGGCCCCGGGGAAGGGGTCGGAACATTTGGGGCCGCGGATCATGAAGGGGCCCTGGGACACACAAATAAATACACACAAATAACAGGATTCCCCATATTTCCCCATATTTTCTGGGTTTTTGTCTTCCCCCCCAATTTCCATAATTTTCCATATTTTCTGGGGAATCGACGATTAGTTGTGTCTGTTTTTCCCCCCCCCCCCTCCCCCCCCCCCCCCCCCCCCCCCCCCCCTGAGATTAAACATATCGTAGCGGCGGATGTCAGGGGCCAGCGCGCGCAGGAAGGGCGAGGGACTTCCCGAGGGTGCCCTCGCGTCCTTGCCTCTCCGGCCCCTCCTGGGCCGTCCCCCCTGGCCAGCCCGAGAGCGCCGACGCCGAGGAGCGCCAGCTTGGGCGACCAGGGCCTCTGCGCCCCCGTCGCGCGTCCTTGCTGTGCCAACTTTGGCTGTACTCCGAGGAGGGGGGGCGAGACCCCAGCCTTAGTTGGGCCTGTCCCTCTACAGGGGGAATGCTCAAACATAGTCAAAAAATAGTCAGGGGATCACTTTTAGAGCCTTTTTTTGACCATTTTGGCATATTTTTTGTAGTATTGCGAAGGCCTTACGGCCGGTGCCGCCGACCCTGAAGACGAAGCTGTCTGTGACGCCGTGAATGCCGAAACGTCGTATATGCTAGAAATCTAAGTTTCCGATGGAAAAGTAATGAGTGTGGCCTCTTGGGCCCTTCTTGGGGGTGCTCTTGGAGGGGGCCTGGGACGTCTTGGAGGCTTCTTGGACGGTCTTGGGGCTATCTTGGGTCTTCGGCCGATCTTTGGGCGACTCGGGGCACTCTTGGGCCGTCTCGGGGGCCATCTTTGGCATTCGGACCTCATTTGGAGTGTTTTCGAGGTTTCGAGGCCGCCCGAGGAAAAACGGAAAACGAATCTGCCCCCCCCCCCCCCACCCCCCCCCCCCACCCCCCCCGGGACCCCCCCCCCCCCCCCCACCCCCCCCCCGGGACCCCCCCCCCCTGGGGAAGGGATCAAAGGGAAGGGGCTTCCCTTCGAATCGACAACTGCATGACGGCAGGAGGGTACGACCCAAAAAGAAAATGGGGGAAGGAAGAAGAGGGGGCGGCGAGGAACGGACGAGGAAGCCTCCGCACACGCCGACAGGGTCAGCGGATTTTTAGTTTTTCGTCCAAAATCCGCCTGTAGGGGGACAGGCCCGAATTAACTTCAGCCTCTGACGCCGCGCTTTCTTCAGAACGCCGGCCCCCAGAGCTCCCGACCCCTTCCCCAGGACCAGTTCTTCATCCCGAGTGGTTATGTGACGGCCCCGAGGCCCAGCAAGGGCCCCCAGGGGCCGGCAATGATCCAAAGCCTCCCGTCCGGATTTCTTGTCGGGACGCGGTTGGGGTCCCCGAGGGGGCCCGCGGGCGGGGAGGGCATCGGGCCAGCGCCCGACCTCCGCCTGCCCCCCCCCCCCCCCGGTCCTGCAGTGGGGGCGGGCGGGCGGAAGAGCGCCCGCGGCTGCCGGCGGCGATGGCCGCTGGGCGGACCCCCGGCCACGGCCCCGGCCGCGCCAGCGGCGTCGGTCCACGACGGCGACGACGACGACGACGACGACGACGACGACGACGACGACGACGACGACGACGACGACGACGACGACGACGACGATATCGATTTCGATGACGACGACGATTTCGATGCTCCGCAAGCCGTCTGGATCGCGGGTGTCGCCGGTCTCGGCCACGGCCCCAGCCCCAGCTCCGGCCACTCCAGCTCCAGTGCCCAGTCGCCTCTGCCTTGCGCAGGCCTCTTGGGGCTTGGAGCCGTCGGGTGGTCTGAGGTTGCCCCGCACTGGTTCCGGCCAGCAGGAAGGGCGGGAAGGGGTTCGAGGTTCTGGGCTCGGGAAGTCTTTTTTGTTCTCCGGCCTCCAGGGACCGTTTTCGGGCCCATGGGAAGCTGCACCAGATGGACCCCAGGAGGGGTCCAGGGACTGGTTTCGAGCGGAGGAGGCTTCATACCCCTCCTGACCGATTTTCTGGGGTCCCAGCCAGCTCGGACCCGCAGGCCGCCTCCATTTTTGGGCCCCCCCGTCGGGCGAGAGGGGGTGCGTTGCGCGTGCAGCCGGCACCGAGGGTCCAGAGCAGCTCCTGAGGGCTGCCCTTGCGCTCCTCGTGCTTGGGCCCTGCACCTTGGCATGCTCGTCGCTTGGGTGCCTCCCTGGAGCCTCGGGCCCTCGGCGAAGGGGCCAGGCTCTCGACCCGCGTGTCCTTGCGGCCATGCTCCGACGGCGCCCGCGCACCGTCGGGAACTTTGGCCTCAGCGTGTCGCACCGCCGGTTGTGGCCCTGCCGCGCGTCGGTCGGGGGTGGACAGACCTCCTACCCTGACACGTCGATTCAGGAATGGGCCGTTCTCGGTTCGCGAGAGGGCGCCGCGGCCACCATTTTTTTGCGGGTCCAGGCCCGTCGGTTTCGGTCCCAGGCCGTTTTCACTAAAGGGGAGGCTTACGAAAGGGAGGTCTGTCCACCGCCGAGTCGGAGCGACGCGTGGTCCGCGCCCCGGCGGCCGGGCGGCACCGCCCCGGGCGCCCCCCGGCCTTCCCCGCGGCCTCGCGCGCCCCGCGGGGCGGAGCGGCGCGCGCCGGCCGTCTGCCGGGGCACGGCTCGTCGGCCGGGGCCGCCGCCGCGGCACGCGGAGCACGAGCTGCTGATCACCACCTGCCAACCCACCCCAACCCAACCCGAAGGCCCCGATTTGCCCTCCATTTCCAGTGGGGGGGGGGTCTGGGAACATGGAAGAAACACATATATGGAACCCGTACCATCCCCCCAACCCGAAATTCGTGGGCGCAAGCGGCAGCGCAGGCGCCGAGTTGATAGGTCCGGGCCACGGGCCTATCAAATTAGCAACGCGCGAGCCTGGAAGCACAGCGGCCGAGCCCACCGCCGCGACACGCGAAGCACGAGCTGCTTCGGCTCTGCGCAGGAGTGACCCCCGGCGGGAGGGACTCCTGCGGTGCGGGCTCAGGGGGGGCCCCCCTCCGGCACCGGCCGGCGCGCTGGGATCTGGCCCTCCCGCGGCCCCCGGAAGCCGCGCACCAACGGCCACCTCTTGCCTCTGCAGTGGAAGCCCGTGCCAAGAAGCACCCTGCTCGCCTCCAGTCCCGGGGGTTCGTGGGTTTCGATGGTTTTGCGACGGAGAGCGTGACCTTCCCACATTGACAAACAACGGACGTCCTGGTCTCTCAGGGTTGGGTTCTTGGTGGAGGGTTTCTTGTGGTCGTGCTCCTACCAGGGGTGGACCGAAACGGTGTTTTGGCGATTTCGTGGGCCGTTTCGTTGCGATTTCGTTCTGCGTTAAAGGCGGATTGAAGACAAAACGAGGGAAAACGAAAACATAACGAGAACGAAAAGCACCGTCTAGGTCCAGCCCTGGCTCCTACGGTATCCACACTTTCTTCTCACGTGGGGGCCGTCTTGAGCGAGATCTTCCTCTGGCCCCCCCTCTGCCCCTGCCCCGCGGTCCATTTTCCGATCCGATCGGTCCCAGTCGAGGGCGATTCCGGCCAGCCGCTTGAATGCACGCCGTCGCTTGCATGGCATGGTTGTGCTCGGTGGTGGACAGGCCCCCTACCCTGACGCGTCGATTAGCGAATTGGCCGTTTTCGGTTCGCGAGAGGGCGTCGCGGCCGTCACTTTTTTGTGGGTCCACGTCCGTCGGTTTCGGTCCCAGGCCGTTTTCACTAAAGGGGAGGCTTACTGAAGGGAGGTTTGTCCACCGCCGATGTGTATCCTGGTTTAGCCGCTCCGATTCGATTCCGACCCCGACTCGATGCGGTCCGACTCGACGCACCATCCGATCCGATCCGGTTTTCCTATTCGATGCTGGGTGGTCCTGCCCCACCCTTGCGCTCTCTCGGTTCTCGGGCTGCTCGCCCCCGTCGCGGCGCCCTCGGGGAGGGAGCCCCCCCAACCGCGCCCGAGCGAGCGGGGTCGCGTGCCCAGGCACGGCAGTGGCTTCCCCTCCGACGATCCCCTTCTCTTTTTTTTCCGCCGAGGACACTTTATACACCCACCGTGCCCAGCCAGGGCCGTCCTGGGGCCAAGATGGGCATACCCAGGCATGATCGCGTCGTGACGAGACCACGGCGGGAGGTTTTGGGCTGCTTTTTGCCTCCTGCAGGGGCCCTCGCGGGGCCCTGGGACCGTCGGAGAGCGACTCGGGATGAAAGCCAGTTCCCGGGGGGAAGGGCTCGGGATTTCCAGGGGCCCCGTCAGCCTCCTGGCCTCGGCAAGGAGGGCGCCTGCGCCATGCCAGGGCCCAGCGGGGCACTGGCCGGGCGTGGTGGTGGGCGTGCGGGTACCTCACATGAGTGCCCTTCCGCCTGTATGGGATGCTCCCCTGTGCCCGAGGAGCCCCTGGCGGAGACGCGGGACGCCTGCGCGGCTCAGGCAGTGGGCGCACGGTCAACGGGCCGCGCAGACGCCCGCTCCGGTCCCCCCCGCTTCCCCTCCTGCCACGAGGGGGGAGCAGGCGGTGAGCCAAAGGGTCAGAAGGGGGTCGAGGGGAGCACCCTGTCAAGAAGCCACCCCTCCTCGCCGTTTGCGTGGTGCAGAGGGTTTGGTTTTCACGGAGGGGCTGCTGCCTCACAAGCAGCCCTCCTCTGCCTTCCCAGGAGGCTTCCCCCTTTCACCCTGGCCCCTTGACCCTTCCTTGGGGATTGGAGGGGGAGGGCTTGGAGGATGTGAGTGGAGAACGGGGCAGGTCCGGGAGGAGGGGGGGACAAGAAGGGGCGTAGGAAGAGGCGGGCTCGGAGGCGGAGGACAAGGAAGACGAGGAAGGTCTTTTCACTCCTTCAGGCTTGACACCGTTAAGAATTCGAATTTGCCCCTTGGACTAAATTGCTCGTTCTGGGGTGCGATGCTGCCATCTAGCTCTTCGGAACCACTCCACAGGAACTGTATATTACAACCGATGCACATGCTCCGCTACATACGGCTTGCGCCAACAAGCTGCGCTTACGAGCGGATACATTATCTGAACTAATGGGCTTGCCGTGATGTTTGCGCGATTGAAGCCGGATTTTCTCAAGGATTCTTCCCTCGCTTCAGATCAATCGGAGGAGAGCGAGCAAGAGGGGAACGGTGTGGGGAGTTGAAGAGGCGGAACACATATACGGATGTTCGTATTAAGAAGGGGGGAATCGTCAATATAGGGAGGTGTGTTCTATTGGTCAGCATGCGGCATCTACTTGTGATGAGGAGGACTAGCATACACATGAACAGCAGCACCAGGACAGCGAAGACGAATCTGATAACGACGACGCCGACGACGACGATAGTGGTGGTAATGATGGTGGTGGTGGTGATATTGACGATGCTGATGCTGATGATACTGCTGATGATTATGGTGATGCTGATGCTGATGTTGATGTTGATGGTGGTGGTGATGATGATGATGGTGATGATGAGGATGATGATGATGCTGATGATGATGATACTGATCATGCTGCTGATGATGCTGCTGACCGTGATGATGCTGATGATGATGCGCATGATAGTCATGGTGATGATGATGCTGATGCTGATGCTGATGTTGATGATGATCATGATGATGATGATGATGATGATGATGATGATGATGATGATGATGCTGCTGCTGATCATGTTTATTATGATGCTGATGCTGATGCTACTGCTGCTGATGATGCTGATGATGGTGATGGTGATGGCGACGATTATGCTGCTGCTGATGATGGACGATGCTGATCATGCTGCTCATGCTGATGATGCTGATGATGCTGCTGCTGGTGATGATCATGATGCTGCTGCTGCTGATGATGATCATGAGCATGACCATGATGATGACGGAGACGATGATGTTTGTAATGCTGTTGACGATACTGGTGGTGATGACGAGGATACGAATTATGTGGCGAGCTATGATCGGGATGGGACGGAAGGAAGGATCGTTGGCGCGCCCGGGTTGGAAGTGAGAAGGAAAAGGCATTCTCAGAAGGCTCCGAAGTCCCCCAGCCTGTTGAGCAAATTTCTGAGCCTTCCCCGAAGACACAGAGCACCTCTCAGAAGGCGCGAGGTCTTCTGAGAAGTCTCGCCGTTTTCTGAGAAGATTTTCTCCTTCTCACTTCCCCCCTCGCGCGCCGCCCTACAGGAGGAGGGCGGAGGAATGCGGTTTCAGGAGAATGGGTGTGCGCTGAACGATAATGACGTGCATAAGTTTTGGGGGTGTCGAGGTCCAGCTTTCCCTACACCCCCCCCTCCGTGTCCATAACACTTGTGCCCAAGCCTCGCTTTCTTCTTTCATCAGAGATGGCGATGCGCGCCGCGCTGGCGCTGCTGCTGGTGCTCGGGCAGCTGGACCAGCGGGCCCGCGAGGAGGCTCAGCGCGCGGACTTGAGTGCCGCGGTGGGCCGCCTCGGGGAGGCCGTGGGCGAGCTCGGCCACGCGGAACCGCAGTTGCCCGTGTGCATGCAGTAGGCGCGCCCGTGCCCACCATGCCCAGCTGAGGAGGCCGAGGGCCTGGGCTGGGGCGGCGTGGTGGGCGGCCACTTGCTGTCGGCGCTCATCGGCCAGGCCGTGGCGGCTGCTGGCAGGAGGCGCAATGGCGCGCGCGAGGAGGCTCCCCGTAGGGAGGTTCCTGGGGCCCGACGGGACGCCATGCTCGGCCGAGGAGTTCTCGCATGAGCTGCTGCCTGGCAGGTCGGTGGGGCTTCGCTACGCCGACGTCGGGGAGCTGCTCTTCCATGAGCGGGTGCTCCTTGGCCTTGTCGGTGCCAGCGGTGATGGCCGCAGCAGCATCTGGAGGAGCATGACGCCAGATTTCATGATCTACGAGGAGCAGTACAGTGAAGGGAACATTGACGTGGAGCAGTTCGTTGCGCTGACCGGCCAGGCGGAAATCCCTCGCGTGTTGCGGGGACACTTCTACAGGTTTCGGCCCGACGATTACCCCAGCACCCAGATGCTGCGTCGGGAGCTGGCGAGCTGCTTGGCGACCTACGCTGAGCTGGGCCTTCGAGGCTCCGCAGTTGCCGATGTTGCTGTCCGCCGAGGGCGCGATGGTGGCGAGCAGGAGGCTGCCGCTGAAGGCGGGAGCAGCCGAGGGTGCCGCCCTTGCGCCCGTGGCGGATGGCGCTGACGGCACGGCGGCGCCGCCCAGGAAGGCTCCCGAGGGCTTCAGCTGGGTGGTCGCCGAGAGTGGTGGAGCTGACGTCCGCATCGGCGACAGCATCGAGGTGCGGCAGGGCGACATCACGCTGTCCGAGGGCGTCGGCTTCGCTCAGGACAGGAGCGGCCTGCTGAAGACTGTGCTGGTGAAGAAGTCGGAGATCCCAGATTTCAGGCGGCGGGTGATGGTCACCATCAGGGCTGAGCTGAAGTGGCGTGATGCTGCGGGGATCGCCGGCGCCATCGAGGACGTCGATGAGGCCCGCGGGGCCAAGGAGCTGGGAGGCGCTGCTGGCGAGGGCGGCGAGACCCTTGGCGATGACAGTCGCACGCTGTGGGGCGACTAAGATGAGTTCGGACGGCGCTGCAAATGCATCAGGAAGTTCACGGCTGAGATGAGCCAGGAGCCGCTGCACTGCAGTGACATTGAGGGGCCTGGTTGCCTCGCCCACCTCCTGGTCCACGCCGAGCGGAGGCATGGCGATCTGGAGAAGTGGCTCGTGAATTTCCCGCGCGAGAATCGTATTTTGAGGGCGGGCAGGGCGACGCAGGAGCGTCAGGCAATCGTGAAGTCATTTCATCAGTTTGCGACGCGCGATCAGGTGAACCCGCCGTCTCTTGCTGGCGCTGAACGGCTTGGGCGGCGGCTGGCGGCGATCATCGATGCCTGCAGTGGCCAGGTGGCGCCGAACTGGAGGCTCGCGGACGTCTGCGAAGGCGTGTCCTCGGGCCTGGAGGCGGTCGACCCTGAGCTGCGATCGCGGGGCATCCGCCGTTGCAAGGACGAGCGCGACCACTGCGCCGCGCGGGCCAGGGCGCCGGGCGCGTTGCCGCCCGTGGAGGAAGCCGCGGAGGACGGCGACGGTGACGCTGGCGGCGGGCGCGGCCGCGGCCGCGGACGAGGGCGAGGGGAAGGGCGCGGGGCAGCTCGAGGTGGTCGAGGCGCGCCCGCGGATAAGCCATGATGAAGAAGGAGGGCTACGGTGACGACGTCCCCCGCCGTGGCCCTGTGTGCGTAGGGGGCGGGCCGTTTCAGGCGGCCGATGGTCGGCGGCGGCTCCTTCCGCTGCCGGCCGTGCATGTTGGTCCAATTGTCAGGATCGGTCGGCCCAAGAAGCAGCGTCGACGGGATCGAGGACGTGAGGTCTTTCCCACGTTAGTGACAGAGTCTGTTGATGCATGAAATTGGTTCAGTGGCCACTGTCTCTCTGAGTCAAAGGGCAGCCAGAAGGACTTCGGCCTGACCTCGGAGATGGCGGATTCTACCTGGCGCTACTTCGAGGGGCTGGCATCGCTCCAGCAGCCCAGTGGCGACAAGGCAAATCACTTGACTTCGGAAGCGGATCTCTGCGAGTTGCTCCGCGGGCGGGGCGGCGGCTGCGCCGACGCCAGCTCCGTCTTAAGTACCTTCGCCCCTTTCAATCGAGACCTGGTGTCGCTTCCCTCGAATACTGTGGATTGTAAGCAGATCGGAGAGCTCGTTGGCGCTCGAGGTCGGTGCTTCTTGGAAGGGCACGGGGAGCGAACGCGCCTACCAGTGGAACAAGAAAGGACGCAGTCTCAATTGCATGATATTCCTCGCTACGTGGATCCTGCCCTGTCCAGGAATCGCAGAAAGTATGTGCAGCATCTCAAAGATCTACGCGATAGAGTTTTGGTGAAGTTCTCGCGATCTTGCGTGGGGCGCGCGGGTTTGTTCTTTGTCAAAAAGAAGTCAGGACAGCTGAGGATGATATTGGGCGCTCGGATGACGAATGCTGTTTTTTCGAACTCCACCGTGCGTGGTCCTCCTCACTGCGGAGGGCCTTGGCAGCGTCGAGGTCGAGGGCGACTTCCACGGCACCGCGCATTTTGCTATCGGCGCGGTCGGCGTTGCCGACGCCTTCCGTCGCATGGGGATGCCTGATCACTTGTGCCAGTACTTTGGGCTCCCCTCGACCGCGGCTGGCGAGATGGGCGTCCGCGAGCTCGACGGCGTCGAGATCGAGCCCTCGTGCGAGCTCGTGCCGCTGGCCACCGCGCTGCCCGTGGCTTCGCCAGGTCGCTGTTCTACGCGCAGGACATCGACGAGGAAATCGCAGCGTCGGTCATTGATCGCTGTGAACTCCTCGTTGATCACGGAGGCCGCTGCTGCTGAGGTGCCTGAGGGGCGACGTGCAGGTCCGCCACTACGTGTGCGTGGGCAACGTTGGGGTCTTCGGGCGCAATCGCGGCGTCGTCGAGGGGGCCATGGGGCAGGTGGTTGCGTCTTTCGAGGCGAGGGG